ACATTTTCCAAAATTTGTAGTCCATAATACTGAAAATTGGAGAATAGAAGCATGTGAATATATTGCTATATAGGACTGGCAACTCTCAGGATTCACAAATGGACAGACATTCACACATTTACATCTAAAGTTTCAAAAACATTATGCTACCAAGTTTATTTACATATATTAAACAAGTATCTATTCACCCATATACTGAGTTTTCATGCATTTTCCTCATTTTATTGTTTACTATTCTATATAACGTCCTGCTGTTTATACATGCTCACACCAGGAAGAAGAACCAAATAAAAAGCCCTTTAGCAGCCAAATGGGCTTATCTGTTGAAAGAAAAGTAGCAGCCAGATACGAATTCACAGCATAAATGACTACTCATAGGCTCACGTACTTTAACACGAACAGGCTCCTAAGAATTTAGCAGCTTGGATGCTATCAAGCTTCCTACCATCCTCTAGGAGTTGTAAGCTTTTGGCCAAATATTATTGTCACAGAAACTTTCTATAGAAAGTGTTTATAAGCATCACTGGTGTGTTACTTAAGGAGCAGCAAGACAACCCATGGGTTTATTTATATTTTAACCCCACCCTTTATAATTGCTATTTCTACTAATTTAAAGATAAACTTTTGTGCACAGTCAAAATAATACACAAATGCATGTTGCAATCTGTTATCTACCTTTCAGGTATTTCTTCCTAAATACTGACAGTTATAACTAAAAGTATAAAAAGTTAAAAAATAGAGATACCACTTTCAAGCCATTTTGCCCCTCCTGCTGATTACTCACTCTAAATAGTCAACAATATTTATAATAATTTATAAAGGTCCAGGAATTACTACTTGAATTATTACTATGACCAATTAGTGTGGATAGGCAGGAGGAAGAAAAGGGGCACAACCGTCGTGGTACATTTCAACTGAATTAGGGAAGAATTAGCTATAATACCTGAAAGGTAAACTCATTCATACATAGACATATAACCTCAGATTGCAAGTTTTGGCTGAGAATAAGAGTTCATCTTTAAAATGGTTAGTCATTACACAATAAAATAGGAGCATTAGTATTTCAACCAAAGGGATCATGTGAATGCTCATTTTATCGAAAGCACAATATAGACTGTCCCAAACTACATTGTGCTCAAACAGTGAATGTTTTTGCTGTTTTCTTTCATTTTAACATTTCACACTTTTCAGGAAAATTTTGCCACTGCAACTAAAATACTACATTTGCAGAACATTCCTTAAAATCTTTCAAAATAAAAACAAGCCCAAAGCAAAATTCTCTAATTACAAATTTGATGCTATTAAAACGTTTCATAATCAGCAGTAAATAGTGATGCTTTCTAACCTGCTCATTTTTAAAAACACAGCTCTCTATTATGTCTAGGTCTGAGAAATACATAAATAAGCAAAAAAGAGAATTTTCCAAATGCCTAAAATTCTTAGCTTTTAAAAACATACTACCCTAAACGTTTTAACTTTGTAGGCATGAAATCAGATTGTCAAGACTCAGTAAGTCCAAGCAATGCACTGCTTACAATGTATCCTCTTGCCAAAAATCAATTTAAAAGTCTTTAAAACACTAAGAAACAAAATTCACCATATAGTTAGAAAAAGAAATCTTAAAGATAACTTCAATCTCAAACTTTTTGTCTACATTTTTAATGGAAAGACATTGTTCTTTATTGCTATATTTACTTCTTCCTTACTATTTCATATTTTGTTACCTAAAATTACTATTTAGTAATATGTAGCTATTTCCTACAACTGTATAAAGGTAGCATAGGCCTGATGAAGAAATTCATATTTCATCTTTCTGCCAAGGGGGTTGAAGCAGGGAGCCCAATCAAAGCTTTGCCCATGTTAGGTCAGTGGAATACATCTGTTACCATAATATCCTAAAACCCAACCTCTCCCAGACATAAAGACTTTGCCTCTGAAACTGAAATAAAGATAACTTATATTCTTTAAAAAAAAAAAAAAAAGGCGGGAGTCAGGCACCGTGGCCCTCAACTATAATCCCAACACTCTGGGGAGGCCAATATGGAGGACCAAGAGTTCAAGATCAGCCTGAGCAACATAGGGAGGCACCCTCTATTAAAAAATTAGTAGGCTGGGTGCGGTGGCTCACGCCTGCAATCCCAGCACTTTGGGAGGCCGAGGCGGGTGGATCACGAGGTCAAGAGATTGAGACCATCCTGGTCAACATGGTGAAACCCCGTCTCTACTAAAAATACAAAAAATTAGCTGGGCATGGTGGTGCGTGCCCGTAATCCCAGCTACTCAGGAGGCTGAGGCAGGAGAATTGCCTGAACCCAGGAGGTGGAGGTTGCAGTGAGCCGAGATTGCACCATTGCACTCCAGCCTGGGTAACAAGAGCAAAACTCCGTCTCAAAAAAAAAAATAAAAAATAAAAAAATAAAAAAAATTAGTAGATTAGCAGGCATGGTGGTATGCACCTGTAGCCCTCACTACTTGGAAGGTTGAGGCAGAATGTCACTTGGAGAGTTTGAGGTTACAGTCAGCTTTGATGATACCACTGCACTCCAGTGTGGGCAACAAACTGAGGTTATATCTCTTCAAAGAATTTTTAAGTATTTTTGCTGGAAAATCTGAAGTGACAGTCAAATCTCAAAGCCAATGACAAATCATTATAATCCAAACATTTTGAATTACAGTTTTGCTTTACATCTCGGAACTTGAGAAATCCACTGCTGAGTTATGAAGATGAGGGACAGATAACAGCAAAGACTAAATGAAAAAATAAATGCATGAAATGATCCCTATGGTAGAAATTTCTACTGAGCCCTTAGAAATACTTATTTTATGCATTGAATTCCCCTTTCCCCTCCCACCGCCCATGAAACAAAACAATTGATGAACAGAATTCAGTTAAAGGGAATCAAAAGGGTAGACCTTGTGGAGGCCTGCCGTCAAAGCCTAGCTGTGTCAGTTGCACAGGAAGACACCCCTTTTCTTCCTATTACAAGCAATCAACATAATGGAACATTATGATTAATATCAGGTAGTGTTAACATCTTTAAAGAAAAAAAAATGATTGCATAAAAGCCAAATGTCATAGTGCATAAATTTAGCACCAAATCATTTGTAATTTATGTAAATTGAAGAATTCTTTACCTGTTGCTTTCTTTCTGTTCCTCTAATCATCTCATTTTTCACAAGACAAATTTGAGTTTTTAAAAATACTGTTGATAAATCAACTTAAACATTAGTAATGTCTGTCAGTATAAAAAGCAAAATTTACCAGGCAAGCAAACAGGCAAACACTGTTATGTTACTTAAGGTTAGCACTTTGAGGAAGTTCTGGACTGTATTTTTGACCTAAAATTTACAAGATGTCAAAACTAATATTTTTAAACTGTTAATTAACATAGTCTGGTTTCAGAAACAGACGTGAATATGGCTATTTTCTGTTTTAACACAATGTGTATCAAGTGGAAACCTTTCGTGTATTAAACAGAATGCCATAGTATTTTATTACTTTAAGGCAGTTTAAGGAGAAGTGTGAATCATCAAGCCTAAAACAGATAAAACACATTTTGATCAACCCTTCTGTTCAAACTTAAAAAAGGACCCGAATTATAACATTTTCCATTGTAAATAAAAACTGAGAGCTATCCCATTAAAAGCCCAATGCCATGGAGTAGGGTTTTAAGCTGTCCATACAACTTGGTGTTAAGAGGTGCCTAGCCTGTATTATATTGATTACTTGCCCAAAATAATTCCTTAATGTTATGTTTCATCTCTGAATAACATTCAGAATTCATGCTACTAAGACCTGTATACATATTCTAAAAAGAAAAAAACAAGAACAGACAACCAAAAAAGCCACCTTGCATACTAGTCCCATTATAAACTAAATTCATAATTCTTAGGACTATTTGCAAGAATTAATAATATGCTTAAGACTAAATTTAGAAACAAGTTAACAATATAAATGATTTGAGATAACAAATGCTAATACTAAAAATGAGATACCTTCCTCAAAGTTTATGACTGGAAGAAAAGAAATAACAGATTTTTAAACCAGCACTTGCTTACTTTCGTATTCATATTCTGAGAAAATTCCAAAATTGTGTCGACTCTTGTCCAAGCATCAGGATGCTCCTTTAAATGTGTCAGTACTTCTTGAGCCATTCTTTGCTAAAATATTACAAAAAAAAAAAAAAAAAAAATTAAGCTAATGTGTTCTTTTGAATCATTAAAATAAAAACTATTGAACAAGGCACAAATCACAAATCCTAATTGGACAGATTCTATTATCAATGTTCAGAAATATTTTTAAAATTAGACCTTACAGAAATAGAAATAAAGTCATGTAAACATGACTCCTAATCTTTTTTTTTTTTTTTTTGGAGACAGAATCTTGCCCCATCACGCAGGCTGGACTGCAGTGATGCGATCTTGGCTCACTGCAACCTCCACCACCCGGGTTCAAGTGATTTTCCCGCCTCAGTCTCCGGAGTAGCTGGGATTACAGGCATGCACCACCACGCCCGGCTAATATTTGTATTTTTAGTAGAGATGGGGTCGCACCATATTGGCCAGGCGGTTCTCCAACTCTTCTGACCTCAAGTGATTCACCTGCCTTGGCCTCCCAAAGTGCTAGTATTACAGGTGTGAGCCACCACAACCAGCCAACTCCTAATCTTTAAAGGTGCAAATATTTCACTTCTTTGAAATACAGCAACGTCTTTGGGGAGTAAATCTGGTTTACTTTTTAGTCTCAAAACGCAACTGGATCTCAACCCATCTTCTCTGTAGCAAATGAGTTCTCAGCATTGAAATCAACCAAAAACCACCTAAGAATCCTTATCTAGGCCAGTAGCAGTAGTTCATGCCTGTAATCCCAACACTTTGGGAGTCTGAGGAAGGAGGCTCACTTGAGGCCAGAAGTTCAAAACCAGACAGCCAGCCTGGGTGACAGGCAATGTAGTGAGATCGTAACTCTACTAAAAAATAAAAATTAAAAGAAAAAAGCTGTGCTCCCTTTGGTAGCACATACACTAAAATTGGAACTATACAGAGAAGATTAGCATGGCCCCTGCGCAAGTATGACACGCAAATTCGAGAAGCATTCCATAAAAAAAAAAAAAAAAAAAAAAAAAAAAATGCTGCACACTGTGGCTTGCACCTGTAGTCCTAGCTACTCAGAAGGCTGAGATGGGAGGATCACTTAAGCCCAGGAGATTAAGGCTGCAGCGAGCTATGATGGAAAATGTGCCACTGCGCTTCAGCCTGGGCAACTGAGCAGAGACCCTGTTTCTGGAAAAACAAGAAATTACATCTACTTAGATAAGTTACATAATGTAATGTAGCAGGGCACTCTGCTTTACAAGTTACCAATATCTCTCTAACTACAAAAATATATTTCATGGAAAGACTGCTGAAAACTAGGTCTAAGACAAACCACAAATCCCAAATACTTACATACCCTTTAAGCTCTTTAAAAAGCTCTTAAAATTTATTGTAACCATTCTTTCTCCATTCTGAAATTTCACTAATTTGATGTATGAAATCCTTGTTTTGGAAAGTATTTCCTTTTATGTTTTCATATTTTTAACATGCAAACCCAGAAATATTAAGCTATGTACTCATCTCGTGTTTTTGTCAGTTTTTCTTTTAACATAAAAAAAAATTTATGGAAACCACCTTTGTGCCTTTCACTATTGCCATTTCCTTCCTGTGCTCTTTTTTGAGTCGAGTCTCGCTCTGTCGTTCATGCTAGAGTGCAATGCCGTGATCTTGGCTCACTGCACCCTCCACCTCCATGGTTCAAACAATTCTCCAGCCTCAGCCTCCTGAATAGCTGGAATTACATGTGCCCACCACCATATCCAGCTAATTTTGTATTTTTAGTAGAGACGGGGTTTCACCACGTTGGCCAGGCTGGTCTCGAAATCCAGACCTGCCTCAGCCTCCCAATGTTCTGGGATTACACCTCTGTTCCTTTTTTAAAAGGCAATTTCTTTCATGAACTTGGTGTCTTTTCCTATCCATATTTTCATACCATGTGTGTAAATTTCATGAACAGGGTTGTACGGCTACCAAATTTTATGTTAATAGTATACTTGAGATGGTTTTCACTCTTGATGACCAGGCTGGAGTGCAATGGCGCAATCTTGGCTCACTGCAACCTCCACCTCACAGGTTCAAGCGATTCTCCTGTCTCAGCCTCCCGAGTAGCTGAGATTACAGGTGTCGGTCACCATACCCAACTAAATTTTTTTGCATTTTTAGTAGAGATAGGGTTTTACCATGTTTGCCAGGCTGGTCTTAACCTCCTGACCTCAGGTGATCCGCCCGCCGCGGCCTCGTAAAGTGAGCTACCATGCCTGGCCGTGTTAATAGTATACTTAAGAATCTTTTGCCGGGCGTGGTGGCTCATGCCTGTAATCCAAGCACTTTGGAGGCCAAGGTGGGCGGATCACCTGAGGTCGGGAGTTCAAGACCAGCCCGACCAACATGGTGAAACTCCACTTTATAAAAGAAGAATATTTTAGGCCAGGCACGGTGGCTCACACCTGTAATCCCAGCACTTCGGCAGGCAGAGGCGGGCGGATCATGAGGTCAGGAGTTTGAGACTAGCCTGACCAACATGGACAAACCCCGTCTCTACTAAAAATATAAAATTAGCTGGGCAAGGTGGCACAAGCCTGTAATCTCAACTACTAGGGAGGCTGAGGCAAGAGAACGCATGAACCCGGGAGGCGAAGGTTGCAATGAGCCAAGATCATGCCATTGCACTCCAGCCTGAGCAACGAGAGCAAAACTCCATTTCCAAAAAAAAAATTTTTCACACAACATTAACAGATTTTTACCAACAGTTTCAATTCTACTGACAAGAAGCAATGGCTTAATCTTTTTCACTTTTATTTCTTTAAAGGTTGTTTTATACCCCAATCAGATTCTTCCTATTTCTTTTCTACTAAAAGTTGTAAGCAAAAAGTTTGGGCGAGGTGTGGTGGCTCAAGTCTGTAAACTCAGGAGTTCAAGACTAGCGTGGCAACAAAGAAAAATGTTTAATAATGAGCCAGGTGTGGTGGGATTTATAGTCCCAGCTACTCAAGAGGCTGAAGTAGGAAGACTGAGCCGGGGAGGTCAAGCCTGCAGTGAGCTGTGATCATGCCTTTGTGTTCCAGCCTGTATGACAGAGCAAGAAAAAGGTTTGATGACTTTAAAATCTGTCAATTACCTTTCTCTTATACTATACTTTATCATCGGTTTAACTCTATGGTTATAAACAAGAAAGCATCAAAAAGAGGGCAGGAAGCACTCTTATAATCATCTCTGACAAAGATATCTTATACTCTAGCTTGGCTTTTATTCTAGTCTTTTAAAAAATCCTATGTTTGGCTGAATGTGGAGGCTCACACCTGTTAATCCCAGTACTTTGGGAGGCCGAGGCAGAAGGATCACAAGGTCAGGAGTTCAAGACCAGCCTGGCCAACAGAGTGAAACTCCGTCTCTCATAAAAATGCAAACAATTAGCTGGCATGGTGACGCGTGCCTATAATCCCAGACACTTGGGAGGCTGAGACGGAACTGTTCAGGAAGTTGCAATGAGCTGAGATCAGGCCACTGCACTCCAGCCTGGGCGATGAGTGAGACTCTGTCTCATTAAAAAAAAAAAATTGAATACTTATTATCCTGGCTTTGATGCTTTATTTCAACCACAATCTTTTCCTCAGGTAGCAAATACAATACCATATTAATGACTATTCCATACATCAATCAGCAAAACACACTGTTACACACGCAATAATATGGTTTTTCTCTACCCAGAAATCCACCAGAACCACTGTGGTTGCCTGAAATGATCAGATATAAGATACCTGCCTCCATTTTGAGTCTGTGATTAGAAGAGTTAATGTGTATACTTGAAAATACAACTACACACATTTTTATTTGATCTCATTAAAGGACTGATGGGTATAATGCGTCATGAGAAATGATACAAGGCAGAAAGAATAATGATGTGAGTTATCTAGGGCCAAAGCACATTTTAGCAATGTTCTGATCTTCTCCCTGAGAATATCTAACTAGATAACCATACCTAACTAGAGGAAAAGTTGTAACAAAGATCCTCACATAGTAAAAGTTACTTGGTCAAGTTGCCATTTTGACAGATGCTTTGAAGGGATAAGCTTTCTACACAGAATCAAATACTTCCCACACTATCACCACTCATTTCAATCTCTACATCAATCATGTTCTTTCCTGTGGCAATTTTACTTTCTGATGTTACTTCTAGTATTTGCATCCTAATGTATTCTAATCCTATCATTCTTACATAATGTTCTTTATAAACTTAAAATCCCAGGAGGGGCTTAAAAAAAAAAAAAAGACACAAAAGCAAACTAAAGGGAGAGAAAACCCAGCATCTCCCTTGTGCTACTAACTGAATGGTGAAAGCATTTTAGTTGCTAAGCAATAAAGAGTTCAAGATCCTAACAGAACACAATATTGGCGAAAACATCCAACTCTTCCCCTATGTTTTTTCTAGCTGTCTACTTGGCTAAAAATAGAAAAATGCTATAACAGAAGGTAGTCCTAATGTCACAGTGCTAAATATCCTACTATACTACTAACCATGTATGCAAAAGTTCTGTCTACAGTTTGAAAGCCACTCTTCTAAATAATTTCCTCCCCTCCCCCAAGTTACACATTCCTTTTAAAAAAAGGGCTACCTACAGCTGATTTTTTCCCAGTTGACTTTAAAAGTTTAATTAGTATAATAAATTTTACTTGCCATTATTACTGCATATTTTATGAGTAGCAAAAAATATTTTTTTCAATTTCAAGCGAGTGTGTATCACATATGCTAAATCATTTTAATTATACTGCTAAATGTACCCTTTAAACAGAGTGCCTTCTACCTATTAAGCACTGTAATAGGTGCTTTACAAACCTCATTACTAACCCTCCAGTCTCCTGTAGGGCAGGTCACATTTGCACATGGGACTTAACAAATGACTCGAGAGAACTTCCAGGAATCATATTAAGACATCTAACATTAAAAACATGTTTTCCACTACAGCTCTCTGCTACTACTACTTTTCCTTTGAAATAAGACCCTCAAGGAGCTGGTAAACAAAAAGTAGACTGAACTAAAAGTTTAAAGACATAGTATTTTTAGAGAACAAAACAACTCATTAACCAGCTTTAAGCCCTAAATCTGTGTCTTCATTTATCATACAAGTTTCCTAGGTATTTTCATGCAACTGATTTGAGACAAAATCCTTTTACTTTGGGAAAGTTAACCTATTGTCATTATAAACAAAAAAGAAAAATTAGAGACTTTTCTTAATCTGCTTTTTATTAACAAGTCAACTTTAAAACAAACCATTAAAAAATTAAAAAAAAAAAGAAAAAAACCCTAAATTTCTGAATACTGTGAAACATTAAAAGCAGTATTACTATAACATATTCTCAATTACAAAAATTACCATTAATTCTGTTATAAGCCTTGAAGAACACTAGTCTACGTTGGTTTATTTATTAGATCCTTTAGATGTTGTGAACTACCTTAGTGCCAAGATTAAACAGTATTAGTAGGTGAATATATGCGGAAAAAATTAAATGCCCTTTTCCCAATGGCTACAGACCTGTGTTTCTAATAATATATTCAAAGTTGAACCCAACCTTAATTTCACAGTTTATTCCAAAAGCAGCTGCTTTCTATGCATCCCTGCTAGAAGAAATGAAGCTTAAAGCTTCATGTTGAATGCATAGCATGAGGAACAACTAAATGACAGGGTAATACTGATGGACAATTTTTCAAGAATGCTTTTGGAGATAACACACTGATTAAAAGCCCCTAGAGGGGCCAGGCTCCATGGCTCACGCCTGTAATCCCAGCACTTTGGGAGGCTGAAATGGGTGGATCACAAGGTCAGGAGTTCAAGACCAGCCTGGCCAAGATGGTGACACCCCATCTCTTTATTTAGAAAAAAAAAAAAAAAAAAAAAAAAGGCCGGGCACGGTGGCTCAAGCCTGTAATCCCAGCACTTTGGGAGGCCGAGGCGGGTGGATCACAAGGTCGAGAGATCGAGACCATCCTGGTCAACATGGTGAAACCCCGTCTCT